AAAAAAAAAAAAAAAACGCTTCCCCTGAGTACCTGAGGCCCGAACGCTGAGTGCCTGAGTACCTGAGGCCCGAACGCTGAGTGCCTGAGTACCTGAGGCCAGAGGCCTACGGGTCTCTTGCTGTGAAACTTGGCAAAACGCGACATATTTGCTGGCAAACTACGGGTTCCCAGTAAAGTTGCAAAGAAACCCCTATTTTTCCAAAGGAAACTTCGAACCGACAACATTTTTGCTGCCAAACTTGGAAAAAGCAATATTTTTGCAATTAACCCTTATATCAATTACTCAAAACCCAAGACTACAAGTCTACAACAGATATGATCCCCAAGTTATCCTACATGCTTATGAACTCAAAGCTCCAACAACCAGTGAAGTTAGACTGGAGTATGACTAGATACAATCCATCGTGCTAATTCACCTCAGACGTCAGCCTATACAAATGGCTTGGCGCCCAAGTTAAAACAGTAACATGAGGTGAGGTAAGGACACAAGTTCTCCTCTTCTGGGACTGCCTGCGGGCAGCTGTTGGCGGGCTCAGCAGCCTGGTTCCGCAACGTGGCGAGCATAGGCGCTGCGGTCCGTTGTTGTCACCGTTTGGCCTTGACTGACCGGAGTGGTCGAATGGCGGCCGAGATGCCTTGAGGTCGGTGACGTGTGGAGGTGAGGTTCGGGAAAGGAGGGTCGTGTGTTGGGTACTTGTAGGTTTCTGCACTAGTTTGTGCATTTTCTGATTTCCCAATTGACTGGGTATAAGCTTGTATTTGTTCTCTTCTAACGATCAACATGTTGTTGCTGATTACTCTTCTCGAGAGTATTTTATGATTTCCTGATTTCCTGTTTTTACTGAGTATTTTTTGAGAGTATTTGTATGATCTTGTACTGGTTTTTGCCTGATGATCAACATGGCATTTGCTGATGATTTTTTTCGAGAGTATTTCGATAGTATTTCTTGTATGAATTGGTTTATTTCTAACTGATGTTCTCCTGATATTGTTCGCAGTGTTTTTTTGTAATTCCTATTCATGTTCTTTGGTATATAGTTGCTTCCCTTAACGATGACCTTAACTACGATCAGGATTACTCTCTTGATTTTATGGGATCGTGAGTCCAATATTGGACATCTCAGATAGAATTCTTAAATCTCGTGTTTTAAATTTTCATTTCCAAAGATGCTTCAGATAGATTTCCTTATTTTTGTTTCTGATGTTCAATTTCTAAAAGTACGCTTCCGAAGTATTTTTCTATTTGGAAAAATCTACGTCTGCAAATCTCGATTCTTAGTCTTGATTACTGTCGATGCAAATTTTGATTCTGATTGGCTTTTTCCATTAATTGTGTTTCAAAGCTTGCATGGGTCTTTGTACGGTCTATTTGTGGCTTGC